TTTAGATTTATATATTGTTTATTTTTTTTTTTTGCTTTTTCTCATTATTCTTTTTAGTCTAAAGCTCACTTTTTTATTTTATAGAATTTTGTTGAGATAATTCTAGTTCATTTATAAACTGGTGAGACAGGTTGCTTTTGGGCACTCTAGAGGCAGCTAAGTGGGGTCGGGTTTGTTAACTTTAAAATTCTTTAGAATCAATATATTTATTTTTATATAATAAAAAAAGCCAGACCTGTTAACAATTAAAAAAAAAAAAATTAAAATTAAAAATATTTAAAATTTTATTTATTCGCTTGTTTAGATAAAAAAATTATAAAATTTGTTTATAATTTACTTTTTTAAAATTTCAACTAACTCTAAACTATAATAATTTAATTAACTAAATTTATATATTTTAATTTATAATAATTACTGTATATTTGTTTATTTATACAGCAGTAAAGATTAACTCTTGTAATTACGTATATTATCACTTTAGAACTTGTAATACCCTCGAACAATTCATATAAATATTAGTTCTCTTAAAAAATTTTAATTTGCAAGAATACATATATAAATATTAAAATGAGGGTATAAACATAATCTCTTAATATGTAAATCACCGTATACAATACCCGGGTCTATTACATTTCACCAATTATAGTTAAACCCGCAAGCCTCATGTATGGGTTTGGGTCTAATCATTGGGGTTTATTCTAGTTTTTTCCTATTTGTATACCCGAGTCTTTTACATTTATCTATTTTATCTTATAGACCCAGGTATAATACATGATGGATCTGGTATCTATGTATAAATATTATGTATAAACTAGTAAATTCTTAATTAAAGCTATAAGATTGTCAAGATATGTATTATTAATCCTTAACGTTTAACGCTAAGAAACTTCAATACAATATTAAATCACACGTGTAAATAAGAATAATCAAGACCAAACTCGCTTTTTAAGTTACACATGATGTATAAAGTGGGGTAGTAATCACGAGACCGCCAAATTTTTTGAGCCATTACGTAAATGTTTATGAACGTTTAAGAAAGAATCAGATCAGTTACATAAAATTGAAATGTCAGCATCAAAGACTTTTCTTGTGATTGTTTTTTTATATGGTATTAATTTCCAGGGTATGTATTTTCCTAATTTATATGATATACAATACTTTTTTGAAAGCAAAACGTTTCACTAAAAGCATAAAAAAACTATCATCGGCCTTAATGTTTACTTTGTTAAAAATTTAGAAGAATCCAAACTCACTAGTATTTTACCCGAATACTATATATGTATATATATATTTACTAATATATATACACATACGTATATAATATATATATATATATATATATATATATATATATGCACGTATATATCATATATATTTAATATAACTTAAGTTCTATATAATTCTATATAATTAAAAATTGTATGCCTAAATATATAATCTTTTATTTATATTTGTATAATATTTTGAACATTAAATGTCATTTTTTATTAATCGTAAGTTAATAGGATTGACCTTAAATACATACAATTTTAGGAGAAGATAAGCATAGAATTAAAGTTATAATAATAATAATTAGAGAATATTAATACTTAAAAACTCAGTAATTCCTCCAGTAGGAACAATGACAACCAAAGAATGGGATTACCATCTAAGTTCAAAGGGCGGTCGAATTTTACGCATATTGAAATTCCTTAATTTAATTGGCCAATGACAATAAGTGTCTGCTCAACACAAGTTTACAAATTCTGACACGCGGAAGTTTTTACGTTTTTGGTTTGTGTTTCTAGTTTGTAGGTAACTTGGTTAATTAAAATAGGACATAATCGGCTCAAATGGTCCGATATTCAATTGGATTTCGGGTGTACAACGTTATGTTACAGATACCAATTTGGAGTTGCAAAACTAGTCATCAGAAATGTTTCTCAGTACGCATGATTCAATAATTACGTAAGAACAATAAAAGCTCCTATCAAATAAAATGTACTATCCACACTATCGTATATTGATGTAAATGCGGGCTTGGAGATCTGATATATATTTTTTTTTCTGAACAAAAAAAATGGTTTATGCGCCAAATAGTATTAATGAGTCATATAAATGTCATATGATTTGATTCCCCAAAAAAATTTACTTTTCCCCCAAGAATTTTGCCTGTTTAGGATTTGGTCCAATGACTTGTTTTTGCAAAGCACTTTGCAAAACCTAAATCGATAAACATTCCACAAATATCTAGAAAGAGTACATACCTGTTGTATGATTGCAACATTAACACGTATTATTATATTTTATTATATATTTATATATTTATTTGTTATTATTGTAATATATATTTACTTATTTTGCCCCATCAAAGTAAAAATAACTTCATTTCTTTGATCCGTTAAAAAACTCCTTTCACCTCAATAGTATGCACCAATATTCGTGGTGGAGCTTCCCTTATAATAAAACAAAACAATATATTAATTTTGAAGATAATATTCACTCGGTCGCCGAAGTTTCAGAAGTTAACTCTGACCCACCTCGAGTAATGTCGAGCTACGGCACTTCTCCAAAAAGTGACTTTGCAATCACAAGTGAAACTGCTTCTGATATTTCTGGTGTGTCAAATTATACCGACACTACCTCTAATACTATTTTAATACAAGATCAAAATAGTAACCATTTGGAAAACATCGAGGAACAAAAAATTTTTCTCTCTAACACACCAGTCACTGACAATAATTCCTTGATTAAAGATGAACATGTAGAAATGAAACAGAAACGTAAAATTAAAAAAATTATATATCCAAACTCTAAAGAAGAGATAATATTTGACTCAAATATCTTTGACTCTGATATGTTGTACGCTGAAAAACGAACTATATATATAGTCAAAAAAGATCCTCAAAAATCATCTCAAAATTCATCTCAAAGTTCATCTCAAAAATCGTCATTTTCAACTCGGTGGCTATTCGGAGATGGAGGTAACAATAACAACAACAACAATAATAATAATAATAGTGATAACGATAATAATAATAACGAAAATAGTAATAATAATAATGGTTCATGCGAGACAAAATCCGAGAACGTTGATCAAGTTACTTCACCTATTGCCATAAACATTAAAATTGATGAACCTATATTAGAAACTACTAAATCAAATATCATTTCTACTGTCGACAAATCATCAAATTTGACTGAAGTGAATGTTAAACCTGGTATCGATAATTTGAAGAATCCAACAACTAATGATGTGTCATCTATTTCGGATAAAAGAAATCCATCTGAGAGGATAAAAAATCCCTCCTCTGAAACAAAACGACGGTCCTTATTATTTGATTGGCTTTATCCTTCTGATCCATTGGAAAGTGCGAGTGAAAATGATTTTACCAAGACATCTGTTACTTCGTCGACTCAAAATCTTTCTAAATCTCTTCCAAAAATTTCTAAATCTACTCAAAATCTTTCTAAATCTCCTCCAAAACTTTCTAAATCCCTTCCAAAAATTTCTAAATCCCCTCCAAAAATTTCTGAATCTCCTCCAAAAACTTATGATTCATCTACTTCAACCACCATTAACTCGTCTTCACCCTCGACTACTTCCACTCCTTTAAATAATGATCTACCTCCGTCATCACAAGGCTCCACCAAAACTGACACATCTCAAAAGTCTGGTTCTTCGACTAAAAAGCCGATTCCATCTCGAAATTCATCTCAAAATTCAATTATTAAGGACCCTCCAAATCCAATAGTACAAACTCTACCTGAAAATAGTTCTTTTTGGAGACGTTTCTTTGATTCTTCTAGTAATTCGGGACTTTCTAAAATAACTCAGAAAACTGATGATAAATTAATCACTTATGGTGAAATTAATTCTCAATCTGAAGGTCCTGAAATGACTACTATTAATGATACAAATTCCTCAAAAGTATCAATTTCAAGTGAAACAGATAAGAAAGTATCTAAAGTTGCAATTTCAAGCGAGGTAGATAAGAAATCAAAAGTTTCGAATGAGATATATAAAAAATCAAAAGTTACAAGTGAAGTAGATAAGAAATCGAAAATTTTAATTTCAAGTGATGTAGATAAGAAATCATCAAGAGTTTTAGTATCAAGTGATGTAGATAAGAAAGTATCTACCTCTCCAATAGTCTCGCCTAAACTAAAACCTTCAATGGCTAAACCAGCTCCTATAAGCATCGTTTTACCAAAATTTAATGATTTTGTTATAAATAAACCCGTGAAACATCCCGATTCTACTGCCCAAAAGGCGCTTCATGCTATAAACTCTTATTTATTTCCACCTGACAAACCTTGTGATGGTGCTTTGAACAAGTGGTTAGATGAGTTAACTCGATCAACTATTGATGTTAAGAAAATTGCTATCATTGGTGTTCATGGTTGGTTTCCTGCAAAATTATTAAGAGTCGTCGTTGGTGAACCAACTGGAACTTCTCCAAAGTTTTGTGATATGATGGCTAAAGCTGTATTGGGTTATTTATCTAAACATAATATTTCTTTACCAAGTGATGCA